CTCTTTTTCTACGAAACGACCCCTGCCACAGCCCAATTCTGCATACATCTCAGTTGTCCCTCAGTCGTCCCTTCCCTCCCTCCCACTTTTTATTTATCTTCAGCTCCTCGGAGCGCAGGGTCTTCTTAGCGGTAGCACCCAGTTCTTTTTCACTGTGTACAATGGACTAACGCGGTGCGCTTCCCCCTGCAGGTAGCTCAGGACCTGAGCAAAGTTCCCGGGGTTTCCAAAGTTCTCCTCGCCCAGCATGAGGTCTACAAAGGATTTTTGCCTGGTGAGGCCCGCCTCTTTGTTAGTAACTTAAGATTCTCTGCATTCGCTGCCGCGATACAGAGCTGTAAGGCGCCCTGACCGATATGTCTCGTTCCCCCAGAGGAGCTGACGCCGCTGATCTTGGCAGCCCAGAAGCAGTTTAATTACACGCACATCTGTGCCGGAGCATCTGCCTTTGGGAAGGTGAGCGGATACGAAATTCGGCGCCCCCTAAAATCGGTCGCGGCAAAGAGATCGAGCGCTTAGCGACTCCGACTGACGGGGTGCAGGTAGATGTCTTGCTTTCTCGGAAGATTTTAGAAGAAAGGTTGAAGCGCTTGGGGCTCTTTAGCTTGGAGAAGCGACGGCTGAGGAGGTGACATGATAAGAGGTTTACGAGGTTATGCATAGGATAGAGAAGGCGGAGAAAGGAGTCCTTTTCTCACTTTCTCACAATACAAGAACTCGTGGGCACTCCATGAAATTGCTGAGCAGTCGGGTTAGAACGGATAAAAGGAAGTATTTCTTCACCCAAAGAGTGAAATTCACTGCCATAGGAGGTGGCGGCGGCTATAAGCATGGACGGCTTCAAGGAGGAATTGGATAAACATATGGAGCAGAAGTCCATCAGTGGCTGTTAGCCACAAGGTATAGGCAGGAACTCTCAATCTGCGGCAAGGGATGCTCTGTATTCTTGGTGCTTTGGGGGGGGGGGAACAGGGGGGGGGCATCTAGTGTCCTGGCCCCACTGGTGGACCTCCTGATGGCACCTGGTATTTTTGGCCACTGTGTGACACAGAGTGTTGGACTGGATGGGCCATTGGCCTGATCCAGCATAGGCTTCTCTTATGTTCTTATGGTCTTAGGAAGTATGCTGCTTCGTTGCAGACGCTGTTACTTTAATGGACCATATACAGGAGACGCATTCAGTGTGTTGGATGGGATGCAGACCTCTGATTGCACTGGGGCTTGCGTGTACGGCAGGTGACAGGTGTTTGGACTTCCTAAATCAGTGATGGCGAACCTTTTACAGACCGAGTGCCCAAACTGCGACCCAAAACCCACTTATTTATCGCAAAGTGCCAACACAGCAATTTAACCTGAATACTGACGTTTTACTTTAGAAAAAACAACTCATACATTAATTTAAGATGATCCAAACAAAGTAAGGAAAGCAATCCCAAATGCTTTCATTTACTTAAACTTATTTGGCAGAGAATTTGACACTTTAATGATGGTCTGGGCCTGGCTGGGGCGATGGCACGCGTGTCCACAGAGAGGGCTCTGAGTGCCACCTCGGGCACCCGTGCCATAGGTTCGCCACCACTGTCCTAGATTCTCTCTTCCAGTTTCTGTCCTTCAGACACGATTTTTTTTTAAAATATTTAGAGCCTCCTTCCTAGACTGGCAGCTAAGCTCGACGTGGCCCCGGTTTCCGAGATAATCGAGATTAAGTCGCCCGACACGTTCGTGAGGACCATCTATGCAGGTGAGCGTTTGTGAGGCTGTCTGCCGTTCCAGCTGGTACAAGCAGAGCGAATCCAGGGATCGCTTTGGGACCTGGAACTAGAACGGTGGGGTTCTGTTCCAGTTCTCGTTTTTCCGGAGCAGAGAGTCTTCATCCTCTCTCTGAAGGCTCGCAGGTTTGTCTCTAACGTGTTTCCCAAGGGAGGGAGCTCAGCGATGGAGGCTGAACAAGCCCCCTCTCGGTTCCTGGCCAGTCTAACTTCTCATAAAGACAGTTTGTGGAGGAAGGGTCCGTCCGTTGATCTCCGATCTCAGCCAGGCCGATGGAGCGGAAACAGTTTTCTGCGCTGATTAATAGGATCATCCCGTGCACTGTAGGATTGCAGCCCGAAGTCCAGAGAAACCAGAGAGAGCTCTCTTAATTAACAGAACCTGCCGATGTTCTTCCCATGTATTGCATTTCTGTTAATGCACTCCTGATCAGATTTTGCAAAACGTTAAGCCGTTCCGATAATTGTCTTTATTTAATATGGGTTACATTAGCTCCGATGGCAGCAATCCGCCAGGTTATTTTTCTTCGTTAGGGAGACGGTGATGCGATTATTAGTAATGTTTAATTGACTTTCTCTAATTATTCTGCAGCCCTTGTTGTCTGGCCCCCACCGCGCTTGTCTGATCCTGTAATTTAATTTCGGACATGGAAGCATTAGCTTTTGTTCCTTTACATTTTGTTGGGGAAGAGTTTTCTTTCCTTCGTTTGTCAGTGTTGTCTTAACTTTTGGGGAGTGATGGATTTTTATTTATCATGTAACAGTTCTTTTAGAAGTATTTTGTTCTTTTTTAAATAAATTGCTCCCAGGGTTTCTTGTTCCCTCTTGGTTGTTTTTCCCACCCAGGCTTGTAGTAAGAACCTACAAGCGAGACACGGATTTCCTAGGGCTAATCCTGAATTGGCTAATAATTTTTCAAACTGAACTAACGGATAATGTAACAGCCCAGTGCTGAATTTGTTTACTTGCAAGTGCTTTGACTACATGATTGGCTGTCCGTGCAAAGCATACTTATTTGGAAGTAAGTGCCACTGAAATCAAGGGACCTGCAAAGAAGTAGAATTAGAACTTGGGAGTCATTCTCTTCATAGCAGACTGCTCAAACAGGTGGCAGCAAATATTCTGAAACTAGAGAAGACGAATGAATGTAAAAGCAGAAACGTTCACTGGGACACTTAGTCATTTTCTGACACCCAAGGACCGTGGGCAGTGTTCCCTGTAAGCTGAGTTAGTGTGAGCTAGCTCACGGTTTTTTAGCCTGCAGCTCACACATTTTTCTCTTAGCTCAGAAAGAATGGGTCCAGAGCACACTAGTTTATGTAGTAGCCAAATCCCTTGCTCACAACTTTTAACACCAGTAGCTCAAAAAGTAGAATTTTTGCTCACAAGACTCCACAGTTTAGAGGGAACATTGACCGTGGGGCTCCATTTTTATTTCTGAAGGAGCTCAAGGTGGTGCCCCTCATTGGGGGGGCAATGAGGTAGGGTGGGCTGAATGAGAGAGACCGGCCCAGGGTCATCTAGTGGGTTTCCTGGCGGTGTGGGGATTTGGTCTCAAAGTCCAGCAGTCCAGCCACTAAATCACTTTCAGCCAGGCCCGTGGCCACGGTGGGGCGTTTAGAGGCGGAGCCCCACCACCCACAAGCCCTGCCCACCACCTGATGATGCCAGACATCCCCACCCCCCAGTGCGCCTAGCCCCGTAGGGGCCGCAAGGCTGGGGAAGAAAGGGAAGCCACCCTGCAGCTTCTGGTCAGTTTCGCTCCCAGCTGATCAGCTGTCAGGTTTAACAGCTGAAAGGAGAGGGAGTGAAATTGACCAGAAGGGGGGGGGGGGGGGGGAGCTTTCTTTGCTTCCAGCAGTCCAGCCACTAAATCACTTTCAGCCAGGCCCGTGGCCACGGTGGGGCGTTTGGAGGTGGAGCCCCACCACCCACAAGCCCTGCCCACCACCTGATGATGCCAGACATCCCCACCCCCCAGTGCGCCTAGCCCCGTAGGGGCCGCAGGGCTGGGGGAAGAAAGGGAAGCCCCCCTGCAGCTTCTGGTCAGTTTCGCTCCCAGCTGATCAGCTGTCAGGTTTAACAGCTGAAAGGAGGGGGAGTGAAATTGACCAGAAAGGGGGGGGCAAGGCAGCTTTCCTTGCCCCGGTGGCCAATCTCCAGATGGTGGCTGGAGATCTCCTGGCATTACAGCCAATGTTCCCTCTAAGCCAATCTCCCTGGAGTTGCCAATCTCCAGATGGTGGCTGGAGATCTCCTGGCATTACAGCCAGTGTTCCCTCTAAGCTGCAGAGTCCTGTAAGCAAAAATTCTACTTTGTGAGCTACCGGCATTAAAGTGGTGAGCGAGCGATTTGGCCACTGTATTGATTAGTTTGCTCTGGAGCCGTCCTTCCTGAGCTAAGACAAAAACGGGTGAGCCGGTGGCTAAAAAACTGTGAGCTAGCTCACACGGACTCAGCTTAGGGGGAAACGATGATTACACCTGATCTCCAGGTGGACTCTGTGGGATTGTATCCCGTTGAAGTCCCTCCCCTCCCCAAACCCCGCCCTCCTCAGGCTCCACCCCCCAAATCTCCAGGTATTTATTATTTTCAAGTATAAATATAAGCATAATTCCTGCCAACCTAGCCGTTCAAAAGCAAGACATTGCAAGTAGATAAAGAGGTACCACTTCGGTGGGAAGGTAACAGCGTTCCGTGCGCCTTGGTGTTTAGTCATGCCAGCCACATGACCACGGAGACGTCTTCGGACAGCGCTGGCTCTTTGGCTTTGAAATGGAGATGAGCACCGCAACCCTAGAGTCGGACTCGACTGGCTTTCGAGCAAGGGAGACCTTTACCTTTTATAAGCATAATGGGTGCCCCGCAAGAGAAAAAAAAATTGCTCCACAGAATGAAAAATCCCAGCTACGGCCCCGCTTTCAAGCCTTTCAAACGTGGCCATCTTAAGTCGCCCTTGCTGGAGCATCAGCCGTATTGTCCTTTGGTAATGGTAGGAGTTGACGGGTGGAATGGTGGTTCTGACGGGCCGTGTGATCCGCTTGCAGGAAACGCCCTGTGTACCGTCAAGTGCGAAGAGAAGGTAAAGGTGTTCTCGGTCCGAGGCACCTCCTTTGAGGCAGCACCTGTGAGCGGCGGCAGCGGAAGTTTAGAAAAAGGTGAGTGTTCGGGTACCCAAGTCGTCTTCTGCTCCAGTTGTTGAACATCCTTGTCGAGAGACACAGTCTCAAAGCTCAGCAAGTTTTAGGCGTCTTCTTTCCTTATATTCTCACCCCAGACACGTTGTCTGTCCCCTAGAATTTTGTCCTTGCTCTGTCAGGCTGTGGTTCCGGCAGTCTAGGGCAGAGGTCCGTGGGAACCTTTGGAATCCGGACCCGAGATGGCTGCCACAAAATGGCTGCCACAGGGAAGATCCTTGTGCTGTGGTGGTAGCCGCTGCCAGTTTGGTGTAGCGGTTC